GGCGGGGGGGGATCGCATCCCTGCGCTTCAGCCCTCCCGAGTAGCTGGACTACAGGGTCCCACCACCGTCGCCCGGCTAGTTTTTGTATTTTTGTTTGGCAGAGACGGGGGGGTTCACCGTGCTTAGCCAGGCATGGCTTCGACTCCCTGAGCCTCGTGAGTCCGCCTGCGTCTCGCCTGTCGCCAAGCAGTGCTGGGATTACAGCGCTTGAGCCACCCGCATCCGGCCAAGAATTGCTTTCTTATTTTGTCAAGTTTTTTTTTTTTTTTGTTTTTTTTTGTTTTTTTTTTGGGCCAACCAGCGCCCGTTCTTGCGGTGATGGTTGCCCTATCTTATGAATATATTTTTTAAAATGGTATACATATTAGAAGTTTGAGATTTGTACTGTGTAAGTAAGTATGTGTTGATATCTCAATAAAGCTGGTTATAAACGACACAATTCTGCAATTTCTGTTTCACGTACCTACTGCTAAAGCTGCAGCAGAGGGCTGATAGGAATTCCTGCGTCCTGGAAAACGGAGAAGGTCCGCCAGCAAAGGCAACAGGCAGCTTTCAGAGGAAGTTTCATGTAAAATTAACTGCTTCTCGTCACGTTAAGCGTACGATGACCTCAAGTAACCTCAGTAAAATTTTATTACTTGAATAGAAAACAGTGGACTTTTCTTGGTAAAATGTACTTTGTACACAAATATTTGTAATTAAAATATCAGTGTAATTGGGTCTGGGGTGGTGGCTCACACCGTAATACCACCACTTTGGAAGGGTGAGTTGGGAGAATCACCTGTTCCTGGGGGCAGAGGTTTCAGTGAGCTGAGATCATGCCATTGCACTCCAGCCTGGGTGACAGAGTGAGACCCCGCCTCAAAAATAAAAATTTAAAAAGTGTGATTGAGAAAGTAGGATAATATGGATGTTGTATATTTCCCTCTTTTAGCGTATACATTTTTGTTCCTTCCTGCACCAGAAAACATGATACACACCTATTTCATTACGATTTTTTTTTATTGTGGTGAAATATGTATATACCATAAAATTTACCATTGTTACTTTTTATTTATTTATGTTTTTGAGGTAGAATTTCACTCTTGCTTCCCAGGCTGGAGTGCAATGGCGCGATCTTGGCTCACTGCAACCTCCGCTGCCTCCCAGGTTCACTCCATTCTCCTGCCTCAGCCTTCTGAGTAGCTGGGACTACAGGTGCCTACCACCACGCTCAGCTAATTTTTTTTTTTTTTTTTTTTTTTTTTTTTTTTTTTGTATTTTTTAGTAGAGACGGGGTTTCACCATGTTAAGCAGGATGATCTCAATCTCCTGACCTCGTGATCTGCCCGCCTCAGCCTCCCAAAGTGCTGGGATTACAGGTGTGAGCCACCGTGCCTACCACCACGCTCAGCTAATTTTTTTTTTTTTTTTTTTTTTTTGTATTTTTTAGTAGAGACGGGGTTTCACCATGTTAAGCAGGATGATCTCAATCTCCTGACCTCGTGATCTGCCCGCCTCAGCCTCCCAAAGTGCTGGGATTACAGGCATAAGCCACTGCGCCTGGCCTGTTTTTACTATTTTTAAGTGTACAGTTCAGTGGCATTCAGGATATTGATTTTATGTCCCCATTACCAATATCCATCTCCAGAACTTTTGTCATCTTCCCCAAAATGTCACTCTGGGCTGGGCACGGTGGCTCTCGCCTGTAATCCCAGCACTTTGGGAGGCCATGGCAGGTGGATCACCAGAGGTCCGGAGTTCAAGACCAGCCTGGCCAACATGGTGAAACCCCGTCACTATCAAAAATACAAAAATCAGCCAGGCGTGGTGGCAGGCTCCTGTAATCTCAGCTACTCTGGAGGCTGAGGCAGGAGAATCGCTTGAACCCAGCAGGTGGAGGTTGCAATGAGCTGAATTTGTGCCATTGCACTCTGGCCTGGGCAACAAGAACAAGACTCTGTCTTAAAAAACAAAATAAAAAACACCAAAAGTCACTCTGTCCCCATGAAATAATAACCCCCAATTTTTTTCCCCTATCCCAGGTCTCTGGCAACCACCAATCTACTTTCTGTCTCTGAATTTTACCACTTTGGGTACCCTATTAGAATGAAACCAAGCTTTTCATTTTGTGACAGGCTTATGTCACTTAGCTTACTGTCCTCAAGGTTCATCCATGTTGTAACATGTGTCAGAACTTCCTTCCTTTTTAAGATTGAGTAATTTCTATTGTGTGTATGTGCATATGTGCACACATACTACACTTCCTTTATCCATTCATTTGTTGATGGATGCTGAGTTACTTCCGTTTTTTGGCTATTGTGAACAATGCTGCCATTAACATGGGTGAACAAATAGGAATTAAAGTCTCTGCTTTCAGTTCTTTTGGGTATATACCCAGAAGTGGAATTGCTATATCATATAGTAATTCTATTACTAATTTTTTGATGAACTGCCATACTGTTTCATAGCAGCTACTGCATTTTATGTTTATGTTTATCTTTATTTCTTTTTGATACGGAGTTTCACTCTTGTCGCCCAGGCTGGAGTGCAATGGTGCGATCTTGGTTCACTGCAACCTCCACCTCCCAGGTTCAAGCAATTCTGCCTCAGCCTCCCGAGTAGCTGCGGTTACAGGCTACCACACCCAGCTAATTTTTGTATTTTTAGTATAGAGAGGGTTTCACCATGTTGGCCAGGCTGGTCTTGAACTCCTGACCTCAGGTGATCCACCCACCTCGGCCTCCCAAAGTGCTAGGATTACAGGTGTGAGCCACTGCGCCTGGCCAGCTACAGCATTTTATGCTTCTAGTAGCAATGCACAAAGGTCCCAATGTCTTCACATCTTTGCCAACATTTGTCATTTTTCTGTCCTTTTATATATAGCCATCCTAATGAACATGGAATGGCATCTCATTGGGATTTCGATTTGCGTTTCCCTAATGATTAGTAATATGCCTTTTTATAGAGCTAAAAATATGAGTCAAATATTTTGTTGTGCTTTTTATCAATTATAACTAGTAACAAGGAAAGAATAAGGCAACTGAAAAGTTCTTATAATCTTCAGTTATTCCAGATACAAGTTAAAAGAATAATAAGTTATTGCATGAACTTTTTGTGCCATTTAATTTTTTTTAAGTTCTTTTGCCTTCCATTGTTAGGGTTAGCGTTACTTTTTCTGGCCGTGATAGAACTTTCTGGTTGGTTTGTTTGTTTTGAGACGGAGTCTCGCTTCTTCACCGAGGCTGGAGTGCAGTGGCGCAATCTTGGCTTACCGCAACCTCTGCTTCCCAGGTTCAAGCGATTCTCCTGCCTCAGCCTCTCAAGTAGCTGGGATCACGGGCGTGTGCCACCATGCCTATCTGATTTTTGTGTTTTTAGTAGAGACGGGGTTTTGCCACTTTGGCCAGGCCGGTCTTGAACTCATGACCTCAGGTGATCCGCCCAACTCGGTCTCCCAAAATGCTGCGATTACTTGCGTGAGCCACCACGCCTGGCCAATAGAACTTTCTCAACACTCAACCATTTACTTTTATCCCAAGCTACTTTCTTCCCTACTCAGGACCCTAGGTTTCTATTCATCATTTTGTAAATTCTGTTTTACTATCTTTTAAATTTTTTCTCTCTCTTTTCTTTTTTTTGAGATGGAGTCTCACTCTGTCGCCCAGGCTCCACCTCCCAGGTTCACGCCATTCTCCTGCCTCAGCCTCCCAAGTAGCTGGGACTATAGGCGCCTGCCACTACACCCAGCTAATTTTTTGTATTTTTAGTAGTGACAGGGTTTTACTCTTTTAGCCAGGGTGGTCTTGATACACTGACCTTGTGATCCGCCCGCCTCGGCCTCCCAAAGTGCTGGGATTACAGGCATGAGCCACTGTGCCAAGCCTTAAATTTTTTCTCTTTTTTAAAAAATGTTGAAATTGTTTGCCTCTCCTCCAATTTTGTTTCTGTTCTGTTCTGTTTTGTTTTGTTTCGAGACAGAGTCTTGCTCTATTGCCCAGGCTGGAGTACAATGGTGCCATCTTGGCTCACTGCAACCTCCACCTCCTGCATTCAAGCAATAATCGTGGCTCAGCCACCTGAGTAAGTGGGATTACAGGCATGTGCCACCACGCCTGGCTAATTTTTGGATTTTTAGTAGAGGTGGGGTTCTGCCATGTTGGCCAAGCTGGTCTCAAACTCATGGCCTCAAGTGATCCGCCCACCTCGGCTTTCCAAAGTGCTGGGATTACCAGCCATGAGCCACTGTACCCAGCCACCATTTTGCAAATTTTTTTTCTGAGCGGCTAATGATATTTCAGTATGGCTTTGAGATTACATTACTAAACATTGGTGAGGATTTGTACAAATAGGAGCATTTGAATTGCTGGCAGTTTATACTGAAACAACTGCTTTGGAGAGCAATTTGATCATATCTGGTAAAAGCTAAACATATATTCTGAAAGCTGATAGTTTCACTTCTAGGTATATATCCTTAAAGGAGTTTTTTTCAAACTTTTTCCCACAGTAAGAAATATATCTTACATGGCCAGGTGTAGCGGCTCACGCCTTTAATCCTAGCACTTTGGGAGGCCAAGGCAGGCAGATCATTTGAGGTCAGGAGTTTGAGACCAGCCTGGCCAACATGGTGAAACCCTGTCTCTACAAAAAAATACCAAAATTAGGTGGGCATGGTGGTGGGTGCCTATAATCCCAGCTGCTCGGGAAGCTGAGGCAGGTGAATCACTTGAACCCAGGAGGCAGAGGTTGCAGTGAGCTGAGATTGTACCACTGCACTCCAGCCTGGGCAACAGAGCAAGACTCCATCTCAGGGGAAAAAAGAAAAGAAATATATCTTACATTATGACTCAGATGTTTAAAAGCATACATACAAACTAAAATAGATTTTCCTGAAGTATTTCTACTTGTTTTATACTCTGATATTTCTTTCTTTTTTGAATTCTTTTCTACTTTCTATATTTTGAGGGGTGAGCGAAAAGCTATCATCACTGACTAAACTGATTTCATGACTCGCCAGTGCATGTTGATCTAGGGTTTGAGAAACCCAGTCCTAGACTAACTTTACTGTGCTTTCTAGGAGATGTTCTTTAAGAATATTTATTGCATCATTGTTTTATTTTCAAAATACTAGAAACAGTGTAATGTCCTCCAAGTGAAAAATGGGCCAAATTGTGCTATACTTACATGATGGAACACTCAGTAGTGAAAATAAATGTACTAGATTTATATTTATCAGTGTAGATAGCCTGCGAACATATAACTGAGTAGAAAAAGCAATGGTGTATTTGGTAAAAATACAGCAATTTTTTTTTTTTTTTTGAGATGGAGTCTTGCTCTGTTGCCCAGGCTGGAGTGCAGTGGCGCAATCTCGGCTCACTGCAAGCTCCGCCTCCCGGGTTCACGCCATTCTCCTGCCTCAGCCTCCCAAGTAGCTGGGACTACAGGCACCCGCCACCTCGCCTGGCTAGTTTTTTTATTTATATTTTTAGTAGAGACGGGGTTTCACCATGTTAGCCAGGATGGTCTCGATCTCCTGACCGCGTGATCCACCTGCCTTGGCCTCCCAAAGTGCTGGGAGTACAGGCATGAGCCTCTGCCCGGCCATGCAGCAGTATTTTCATGGTTTATGTTTATCTACACAAACACAGAAGCATATGTATATACAGACACAGAGAGAAGATAAAAACATAAATACTACTGATTATCATAGTTGCCTCTAATGGGGGCTGGGAGGAAAACAATGGGGATTTCAACCTTAACTATGGTTTTTATTTTAAATAAAGCATCTTAACCTATGTTATTTTATAATAATTTATTAGTTTTGTTTTCTCATTAGAGGCTCAACTAAGTGAAAAGATTTCACTTCAGGCAATTCAGCAGCTGGTTCGAAAATCATATCAGGCTCTGGCTTTATGGAAACTTCTTTGTGAACATCAATTCACTGTCATTGTGGCAGAACTTCAGAAGGTAAGTTTTTTTTATTTTTTTATGATTGTACCATTAATACTATGTTTGGATTTTTTTGGATGAGTATTTTGGCTTTGGAGGAGATTATTTTGGGAAGCATTTACGTTAATAATCAAGTTAGTATGTTACAGGAAGATTGCACAAAAGCTTACAAACTTGGGGGACCTATTTTTTTCAAAGCCACAAGTTTTTACTTGTGGTTATGTGAATGAAATCATACTTTACAAAACATATTTTTTAAAACAGTGGACTATAACCTTTATTTGAGCTACAGGTTCTTCTGAGAATCTGATAAAAGCTATCTCTCACTACCCTTAAAGAAATGCACATCAACATGGACACACAGACTTTTGCATATAATTTCAAAGGACCCAACAACCTAAATTAAATACTCTTGACTGGGCACTGTGCCTCACGCCTGCGATCCCAGCACTTTGGGAGGCTGAGGCAGGAGGATCACTTAAGCCTAGGAGTTCAGCACTATCCTGGACAAGATGTCAGGACCCATCTCTACTAAAAATAAAAAAATAAATTAGTCGTGTGGTGGCACATGCCTGTAGTCCCAGCTACTTGGGAAGCTGAAGTGGGAGGAGCACTTGAGCCTGGGAGGTTGAGGCACCAGTTAGCTGTGATTGTGCCACTGCGTCCTAGCCTGGGTGACAGAGTGAACCCTGTCTCTCTCTCTCTCTCACACACACACACAAACCACTCCTACTTCATTTTATGTATGTATTTTTGTTGTTGTTGTTATTTTACAACTCTGTCGCCCAGGCCAAAGTGCAGTTGTACGATCTCGGCTCACTGCAACCTCTGCCTCCCGGGTTCTGGCAATTCTCCTGCCTCAGTCTCCCAAGTAGCTGGGGTTACAGGTGCACGACACCCATGCCCAGCTAATTTTTTGTATTTTAGTAGAGACTGGGTTTCACCGTGTTGCCCAGGCTGATCTCAAACTCCTGAGCTCAGGTAATCCACCCGCCTTGGCGTCCCAAAATGCTAGGATTACAGGCGTGACCTACCGTGCCCGGCAACTGCTGTTAGAATATATAGAGGAAATTTATTCCTACCTTTTATTTGTGAGCATTTCTGAACGTATACACAAGTAGAGCAAAAACTGTAACTCCCACATACATTTGACTCATTCAGCATTTTCAAGATATTGTGTTTCTTAAAAAAAATAGTTCCTTGAATAACAGCAATGTCATTATCACAGTTACCAGTTTTTCTTGAGACAGTGTCTTGCTCTGTCTGGAGTGCAGTAGCACGATCACAACTCACTGCACCCTTGACCTCCCTGGGCTCCAGTGATTCTCCTACTTTAGCCTCCGGAGTAGCTGGTACTATAGGCACACACCACTATGCCTAGCTAAATTTTGGTTGTTTTTTTTTTGGTAGAGATGGGTTTTCACCGTATCTCCTAGGTTGGATAGTTACCAATATTAACTATCAATATTTGATAGCAAAATCTGTCTGAAAAATGTCTTTTTACAGATTGGTTCATTCAAGTCAGGATCTAAACAGTTTAGTTGGTTTGCTCGTGGAATTTATTGTTTATCTTTCATCTGTTTCAATCTGAAGCAGTCTTTCCTTCTTTTTCTTTTCCTTGCTGTTGCCTTGTAGAAATCCAATCATCAATCCAGTAGCATGTCCAGCATTGTAAGGACATTCTAAGGCTTTTTTTTTTTAACCCTCTTCGTAGTGAACTTCTTCCTCTATCTCCTGCATTTTCTATAAAATGAAAGTTTATTATATAGGCTTGATTCGGTTCAGCTCCTTTTTTGAGGAAGAATAGAATACTTCATAGGTAGTGGTTTGTTCATCAGACTGTTAGAAGACACAAAAGGTTTCATTGTCCTTTTAGTGATACTGAGATGGATTGCTGGATTCAAGTAGTAAGCCTAATACTGCCATTGTGGAATTCTCCATCAGACTTTAATCATCCATTGATAATCATTGCTGGAATTTATTATTTCATTTAGGATTACAAAAGGGGAATATTTATTTGTTCATTTTTTATTTTTTTGAGACAGTGTCTCGTTCTGTCACCCAGGCTGGAGTGCTGTGGAGCGATCTCAGATCACTGCAACCTCCACCTCCTGGGTATAAGCAATTATCCTGCCTCAGCTTCCCGAGTAGCTGGGACTACAGGCATGTGCCACCATGCCTGACTGATTTTTGTATTTTTAGTAGAGACAGGGTTTCACCATGTTGGCCAGGCTGGTGTTGAACTCCCGACCTCAGGTCATCCACCCACCTTGGCCTATCAAAGTGCTGGGATTACAGGCAAGAGCCACTGTGCCCGGCCAAAAGGATATTTTAAATCTGTGATTCCTTCCCCAGTTACTAGCTGCAATTCTGTAAAAAAAAAATTTTCCTGTCCTATATGGATATTTCATTACTCTGAAACGCTTAATATTTGACTCTTGTATACCATTTTTCAACGTTAGAAGGCAATCTCCTAATTCTTTCTACTAGTGTCCAATGAATAGATACTGTTTTTTCTTTTTAAAAATTCAAGCTAATATATTTAATTATGAAACTGTTAGCGTTTTCATACCAAGTAGAATAATTTTGAGTTTTATTGAGTGATAAATATATTGTAGGTAGGTTTTTATCCTGGGTATGTTTTTGTGATCCATCTTCAAAGCTCTCTTCCTTACATCACCAATTGTGTGCTCAATGAATGCAAATTAAAGATTTGTTCAAGAATTTTAACACAGTTTCGATATTTCCTTGAATTTAGGAAAAAGAGATAGCAATCACATCACTAACAGAATCTTTTACTATAGTATAAATCAATACTTTAGAGCTTCATTTGGACAAGCACATTTGTTCACAATACAGATTAAACTCCAATATTATAAGGTCTAGAATAATGGAATTCTAACAGTATTTAGGAAGAAGTAAAATGTAAGCCCAAGATTTTCAAATGTAGCCAAGTGATTGTTTTTTCCATTTTATAACCAAAGCGAGGAGATCTGGCTCTAGTTTTGGCTCTACTTAAGCTTTACTTTTCTCATTTGGAAAGTGAGAGTTTTGGACTAGATCTACTGTACGTTCTTTTCCAACTCTGTATGATTTTATGTAAGTTTGCAAAAATTTGTTTCTACTAATTAGTATATTTTCACTTTTCAATTACAGAGTCTATCAATGTTTAGGTTATTTTAAGTTATTACAATAATTTCATTATGTTTAGTAATATGGTATTTTTATAATTGTGATAGAAAAGTTTTATGCTCCTAGGAACTTCAAGAGCAGCTGAAGATCACAACCTTTAAAGATCTTGTAATCAGGGACAAAGAACTCACAGGGGCATTAATTGCTTCTCTTATCAACTGCTACATCAGAGATAATGCCGCTGTTGATGGCATTAGTTTACATTTGCAGGATATCTGCCCACTTCTGTATAGCACTGATGATGCCATTTGTTCCAAGGTATGATACTTTATTATCTATTTCATTGTTAGTTATAAGAGGTATCATGTATGAGGAACCATCTTGTTTCACTTAATATAAGACCTCAGTCAGTTAGATCTCTTAACCTCTCCTAGCCTCAGGATCCTCATCTAAGAAAGGGGTTGGAATATGTGGCTTCTTAAAACCTGTGTATACTCTTTTAAGCTTAGCTTTTCTTTTTAAAAATATTTTTGTTTATTTATTTGACACAGGTTTTCACTCTGTTGCTTAGGCTGTAGTGCAGTGCTGTGATCATAGCTCACAGCAGTGTCTAAGTCCTAGACTCAAGCAGTCCTCTCACGTAGCTGGGGACTACAGGTGTGCAGCACTGCACCCAGCCAAATTTTTTCTTTTTCATAGAGACGTGTTCCGATTTGTTGTACAGGCTAGTCTTGAACTCTTGGCTTCAAGCGGATCCTCCTGCCTCAGCCTCCCATAGTGCTGGGATTATAAGTGTGAGCCGCTATGCCCGGCCCTCCTTTAAGTTTTTCATGAAGAATCTTCTATTTTTTTTATATATTTTTATTTATTTTTTTATTTTTTTATAAGACAGAGTCTTGCCCTGTCGCCCAGGCTGGAGTGCAGTAGCACGATCTCAGCTCACTGCAACCTCCACCTCCCAGGTTCAAGTGATTCTCCTGCCTCGGCCTCCCAAATAGCTGGGATTACAGGTGTGCACCACCACACCCGGCTAATTTTTTATATTTTTGGTAGAGACACGGTTTCACCATGTTGTCTAGGGTGGTCTTGAACTCCTGACCTCCGCCTGCCTCGGCCTTGCAAAGTGTTGGGATTATAGACATGAGCCTCTGCTCCTGGCCCATAAAGAATCTTTGATAGTGTTTTTAGGCCATATTAAAAAGTCAAAGGTGAGAAATTAAGAAAAATCACTAAATTTACAAATTAAGAAAATTTAGGGAATAATTTATCTCCTTAGAAGTTAAGGAAAAGTACTAAAACTTCAAGTAAATCTTTTGGTGAATTATAGTTAATGGGGGCATTTTTATTGATCCTTTCCTACAGGTGGAAAAAATAAATAAATGAGTGTCGCATCGACTGCCTGCTGCCCAATAATGTATTGACTAGGCAAGATAATTACCAGACAAAAGCTCTCTTGCTTAACATATTTGTGAGAGGAATTAAGAATAGCTAGGAATTTTTGGTCAAAAACTTTTCTGCCTAAAATTAAGAAGTAAGTTTGTAGAGTTGTTTTCATTTTTAATGGTAATAATCATATATAAATTTAGACATAGACTAAAACTTAGTTGACAGCATCATCTGTCTGCTTGGTTTTATATATTTTTAAGTTCTTGTTATCTCCTCTTCTAGGCAAATGAGCTTCTCCAGCGTTCCCGACAAGTTCAAAATAAGACTGAAAAAGAAAGAATGTTAAGGGAATCATTAAAGGAATATCAAAAAATTAGCAATCAAGTGGACCTTTCCAATGTTTGTGCTCAGTATAGACAAGGTGAGAAATAAAATGTTTCTTGTATCTTTTACTCAACTCAGAAGATAAATGATAGTGTATGAATGAAGTGAGCTAATGATGAAAAGCCACTTTCCAGACGCAAATCTTTCAACATCAGAGGCCTAGTGAAAGGACATAGGAATGTCGTATCATTGTGTTGCAATATTTGATGACTACACTGACCTGCAGAAGCTGTAATGGTCTTTTTATCTTTTGAAATGTATAAGTTTTGTTTGTTTGTTTGTTTGTTGAGATGGAGTCTCTCTCTGTCAGCCAGGCTGGAGTACAGTGGCATGATCTCAGCTCCCTGCAGCCTCCGCCTCCCAGGTTGCAACAATTCTCCTGCCTCAGCCTCCCTGGTAGCTGGGATTACAGGCACGCGCCACCATGCCCAGCTAATTTTTATTTATTTATTTATTTTTTACTTTTTTTTTTTTTTGAGATGGAGTCTCTCTCTGTCACCGAGGCTGAAGTGCAGTGGCATGATCTCAGCTCACTGCAAGCTCTGCCTCCCAGGTTCACACCATTCTCCTGCCTTAGCCTCCCAAGTAGCTGGGACTACAGGTGCCTGCCACCATGCCTGGCTAATTTTTTGTATTTTTAGTAGAGACAGGGTTTCACCGTGTTAGCCAGGATGGTCTCGATCTCCTGACCTCATGATCCGCCCACCTCAGCCTCCCAAAGTGCTAGGATTACAGGCGTGAGCCACCGCGCCCAGCCAATACCCAGCTAATTTTTGTATTTTTAGTAGAGAGAGGGTTTCACCATGTTGGCCCGGCTGGTCTAGAACTCCTGATCTCAGGTGATACACCCATCTCAGCCTCTCAAAGTGCTAGGATTACAGACGTGAGCCACTGCGCCTGGCTGAAATATGTAACTTTTTAGCATTAGAATTTCAGTTCTTGTCCATTTCAATTACTGTATGTTTTAGATTGCTCTGGATTACATTTATTTTTCAGGTATTTAAAATTTTTTGAGTTTTAAGGTATAATCTGCTTACTTTTTAAAAAATTACTTTAAATCAAATCTAAGATAATGTAAAGGCTCTGTTTGCACAGATATTATATTTAATCTCAAGGTATTTTTCCCCCCTCCTGTAGGGAACTAAAACTTTCCTTTTTGTTGTTTGAAATATGATCTTTTTTTTTTCCAATGAAGAAATCATATAAGTTTTTGTTTTTGGTTTTTGGGTTTTTTTTTTTTGAGACAGAGTCTCACTGTGTCGCCCAGGCTGGAGTGCAGTGGTGCAATCTCGGCTCACTGCAACCTCTGCCTCCCCGGTTCAAGTGATTCTCCTGCCTCAGCCTTTTGAGTAGCTGGGATTACAGGCATGTGCCACCACGCCCAGCTAATTTTTGTATTTTTAGTAGAGGCGGGGTTTCACCATGTTGGTCAGCCTGGTCTCGAACTCCTGACCTCGTGATCTGCCCGCCTCAGCCTCGCAAAGTGCTGGGATTACACACCCGGCCCCCAATGAAGAAATATATTTAACAGATGCCTTTTAGGCACGTTAAGACTTTTTTCTTCTGAAGACCTATCATAAATCTTTTATGTTAGCAGGGTAACTACTGTACAGTAGAGACATAACCTTGACCATTATTTTTATGTGCCAGCTAAGGAAAAATGTATCCAACTTAGTAGTAAGTCATAGGCCTTCATTCTTTTCTTTCCCATCAGTGAGATTTTATGAGGGTGTGGTGGAACTTTCTCTTACGGCTGCAGAGAAAAAAGATCCTCAAGGTCTTGGACTTCATTTCTATAAACATGGAGAACCAGAAGAAGATATAGTTGGACTTCAGGCCTTCCAAGAAAGGTGCATTCCATTACCTTAGCAGATTGTCATATTTATGGATACAGACTTTTCTTTGCGTAAAGTTTTTTGTTTTTTGATTTATATATATTTTTTGAGACAGAGTCTTGCCCTGTCATCTGGGCTGGGGTGCAGTGGTGTAATCTTGGCTCCCTGCAACCTCTGACTCCCAAGTTCAAGGTATTCTCGTGCCTCAGCCTCCCATGTAGCTGGGATTACAGGTGCGCACCACCACGCCTGGCTAATTTTGTATTTTTAGTAGAGACAGGGTTTCACCATTTTGACCAGGCTGGTCTTCAACTCCTAACCTCAATTGATCCACCCACCTCAGTCTTGCAGAGTGCTAGGATTACAGCCATCAGCCACCGTGTCTGGCCTCCTTGTGTAAAGGTTTAATTGACAATATTAGGGAAATAATATTTCAAGTGTAACCCTTATAATATTGAATTATCCTTTTGCTTTTACTTGAAAGCTCCCATAGTGCTGGGATTATAAGTGTGAGCCGCTATGCCCGGCCCTCCTTTAAGTTTTTCATGAAGAATCTTAGGAAGAAGTAAAATGTAAGCCCAAGATTTTCAAATGTAGCCAAGTGATTGTTTTTTCCATTTTATAACCAAAGCGAGGAGATCTGGCTCTAG